GAAGTCAAATCTATAACAAATAATTTATAAAAAAACTAATTTTTTATCGTGGACACCACTAAAATCTTCTTCTAGGATTTCCCTTGGTCCGAAATACCAATCTAACCCATAATGATAGAATATAAGTGGTCTTTTGTAGTTGAAACTTCAAGACTGATGACTTGAAATCGATGAGGAAAATCCTTCCATTTCTTTTCCCATTATGTAGTTTGGTTCTCTAATAAAGTATGAGATTTAGGGTTTTACCACTCGTTAATGGGCTTTGTTGACTTGACATGCTAAATCAACATTCGTTAATTTTTAATCGTCCTTTAACATCACGGATTTTTGCCTAATAGTGGCCTTTCCAACATAGTTTGAGGGAAAAAATGGCCATTTCAATTTTTTAGGGTTTAAAGTGGTTTTTTTGACAAAGTTCAAGTATTGTTAGAGTGAAAAATCCAATAAGGTCTAGATTAATAACCATGACTGTTTTGATCTATGGTTTTGTCTTGATAAATAGTTGGTTCGAGACCATCAAAACTAGACTAGACTCGTTGACGTTGCTAAGAAGGATGTTTTGTTGTTGGATCAATCCCATAACCCGATTCCTTTACAATGTAATGCAAAAGAACATTTCAAGGGTATTTAAGTTGATAAAAAACCAATATTTTTATCCATGGGCAAATTGGGCACTTTCAAGTGTACAAAACCATGGCATCTGGCTTTTGGTGTTTTGGCCAGTGTTTTTAACTTGCCGTTGACTTGGGCAGTTGAATCGATTAAACCATCACCCGATCAAAGATTTTAGGTCCGATTCGAGTAAAACTTGAAGAAATATCAAAACTCGTTGACTTTGTCAAAAACCGTCTGACCCGTTAGATTGGACCATTGACCCGGTCGACCTGGTGACTAGGTCGTGGGTTGCATACTAACTGTGTATGCAAAGTTCGAGAGGACATAACTTTGCACTCTAATGTTTGATTAAGGTAATTTTTTTTTTGTTTAGTTTGTGTAACTTTTTGAGATCTATGCATCACAAGGCGTCATACCCTCACTATTTTCGTGAAAAAAACCCTTTTTTCTGTTCAAGTTGCAATTTTTAATATTTTTATAAGTAAAAATTAAAAATTGAATTAAAAACATAAATTAAATATGAAATAATACATATATTATATCTAAAACATAATTATACATTATTTATTGATAAAATATATATTTGTATACACACATATATACACTTAAAATATATGGATTTTGACTTGGAATGGTTTGAACCATTTGGCCTGACTGGTCGAACTGACCCAGAGGCAAAAACGGTTCAACCATTGAGTTGTTTTTAAAACACTGATTTTGGCAAAAACATTTGTTGGTTAGTTCTTATTGATTATAATAGTGGAAAGGGAAAATTTCTTAAACTACAATATTGTCTTAAAGTACCCTTACCATTTTTTGAGAATTGTCGCCATCGTTAAATCGTAACAAAGACACACAAAAGTAATTTTTGCCCTTATGTTAAAGGGCAAGTTATGATCAAGTTTGTTGTTCGTAACAAAAACACATTTGGAGAAACCGTATACCTCATCATCTTGCAAGTGTAAAGAGAACTCTTCATCAGACGTTAGCTCTTTGGCTGCTCCGCCATCACATCAAGCTCCTGTTCTTCGCGAACATTAAATTAGGGTCCAAATTTGAATTCAAAGCTCATTGGACAATCTTAGGCTCTAGATCTAAGTATACTTGGGAGAAACCCTAAATAGATGCAAATGGTCAAAGGGAGTGGGGTCACACATCAGATCTTGCTCCAAATTTGAGTTTGAAGCTCACTGGACAATCTCAACTCCAGATCTGAGTATTGGGAGAAACCCTATTTTCTCAAGCATCAGAGAGATTCCGGGGTTCAGAGGGAGTGGGGTTTCCAGGTTCGCTTGAGGCTATGCTTAGGCCAAGACACTTGCCTCGTTGAACACCCAAGGCTATGTCAGTGGTCAGAGGGAGATGCCGCTGAGGTTGTCCTTCTTCTCTCCCCATCTGAAAAGGGGCAGGCCGTTGGTTTGCAGGGGCTCTGCAAAAAGGCGAGAAACTCTACTAGTCCGCTCTAGAAATCCAAGAGGTTCCATGGAATTTCGTAAAAGGCCTTAAGCTTTTTGCTCTTGTGCTCTAGATAAGAAGAAGAGTTGTGAGACATTGTGAGATCTCCTCCATGTCTGGTTTGAGTTCAGGGGTTGAAGATGACTTGAGAGAAAAGGGTGAATAGGAAGGGAAGAAGAAGAGAGAAAAGGGAAGGAGGAAAGAAGTAAAAACAAAAATAGGGAAAGAGGGAGAAGAGGAGAGAGGGGGAAAATGGAAACCAAAATCACTGCGTCTTGGTGTCGAGAGGAAGAAGAAAGTGAACAGTGTGGTGAGCTTTGAGCTTTGATCTTGTTTCAATGCTTCAAATCACTCCAATCAGAATGTTGTTCTAAGATAAGCTGCTTGACCCGTGTCTCTGTTTCGGTGAGGTTATGGCGAGAAGGTGACCTCACCCCAATTGCGATTGTGGGACCTGTATTCGGCACCAACGTTTAGCCTGTAATCAGTCAACTCCCCAAACCAAAAGCGAGGAGGTGACGAGAGAGTGTGTGAGAAAGAGAGAAAGATTATAAAGGGTATTTTTGGAACTTTAAAAAAAACCGGTCACGCGATGTCATATGTGAAAAGTGTGACAAAAAGTTAATGGTAGGAGAGGTTTTAGATAATTGTCAAAAATAGTAAGGATACTTTAAGACATAACTAAAATGGTAGGGATAGAGTTAGTCAATTTCCTAAATGTAAGAGATAATTTAAGAAATTTGCCCTAATGGAAATATGGAAAGGGTGTATGATTACCCCAAACGTAGTGAGGTGTCAATTGAATTACGGGGAGATTAGGGATGTTTAAGTCATTTACTCTATATTTTTAATTTGTGGAAATATCGGAAAACAGATACTGCATGTATGTTTCATAAACCATTCCCCCTTCTCTACACCTGCTTTATTATTTGCCGTTGAAAGGAGCATTCCCTCCTTTGAAAAAAAGGAGGAAAAGTGAATTTGTAGGTCCTGATACCACACCTTCAAAAAGAAAGAAAATAAAAAAGGGTAAATTACAGATAGGTACCTTATAATTTGGGGGTAGTGACAAATAAGTATCCTAAACTTTCAATTGCAATACTTGAGTACCCTGAATTCTTAAAAATAGGCACTTAAGTCCATCCATTAGTATTCCGTCAGTTTAACATTATATAATGTAAAAAATACCTTTTCTCGTGTATTTTTGAGATCATTTTATGGAATAACATCATCACCAGAGAATGTCATTGTTAGAAAATTTGAATCTATTATTTGTTGTCCATGTGAAAACGTCATCAAGGGGATATGTTCAGTTACATCGGAATGATTTTAAATAGGGCTGCCTGAAAATGAAACTGAAACCGACCCTGTATTAGGTAAAACCGACCTGGTCAGTTTGAGTGCTTGAGTTGAGGGGCTAAGGGAGTAAGGGCGGACCAAGTTAGAAGTTACTGTTGTTTTTCCAACCGACCCGACCTGGTCGGGTTGCCTAAAAATTAGACTTGTTCATGGGCCGGGCCGGGCCGGGCTTTTACTGTGTATTAACAAATTTTTTTAAGGCCCGAGCCCGAGCCCGGCCCTCATAAAAAGCCCGAAGCCCGAGCCTGGGCCCAGGCCCGAAATTTGGCCTATATTATTATTATTATTAATGTTGAAGCAGCTGAATAAAGAGAGAGATAGATTGAAATTATAAAGAAAAGAATAAAATATATATATATATATATTAAATTATAAATATATATTTTAATAAATATTATATTATTTATATATTTTATATAATATATAAAATACATATTATATATTTTATAAAATATATAATACTGAGTCGGGCCGGGCCGGGCTTTTTTGACAAATCCCGAGCCTGGCCTGAAACACAGTCGGGCTTACTATGTTAAGCCCGAGGTCAGGCCCGCGGGCCTAATTATATGACCAAGCCCGGCTGGGGTGCAGGCCGGGCCGGGCTGTCGGGCTACCCAGCCCATGAACAGGTCTACTGAAAATGAAACCGAAATCGACCCTGTGTTAGGCAAAACTGACCTGGTCGGTGTGAGTCGGTTTGGGTCGGTTTGTGTGCTCAAGTTGAGGGGCTAAGGGAGTAAGGGCGGACCAAGTTAGAAGTTACTACTATTTTTCCAACCGATCCGACCTGGTCGGGTCGCTGAAAATGAAACTGGAACTGACCCTGTGTTAGGAAAAACCAACCTGATTGGTTTGGGTCGGTTTGAATGCTTGAGTTGAGGGGCTAAGGGAGTAAGGGCGGACCAAGTTAGAAGTTACCAAGAAAAGAGAAAGTCAAATTGTGTTAGAAAAAGAAGATTGATTTTTGGAATTTTTAAGAAGGCTTCTAATGTAAGTAAAAAAGACACCTAATTGTAATTACCTATTTGGTATAAAGGACCTTAGAGAATAGGATCCTTTCTTAAACCTTCCAAAAAAATGCAAGAAGTTATTAATGGCATTCCTTATCTTGCAATGTTTGTCATTAATGGCATTCCTAAAGAGAAGATTAGAAAGTAGAAACTATAAATAACTATAAGTAACTAGAAAATAGAAATTAAGTTAGGTACTAACTACTAAGTACTAACTAGGAACCAAGTCGATTTGGGTTARTTCAATTTCAGTTTTCATGTGTGGAAATCGAAACTGAACCGACCCATCAGTTTATGCTTTTTAGTAACCCAAAACCAACCGATGCTAAAGAAAACTCGATCAACTCGGATTGGGCCAGACCGGGTTGGTCAATTTGATTCTTATTGTGAACAGCCCTAATTTTAGAAATACATGAAAAAGGTATTTTTTACATTATATAATATTTTATTGATGATTATTAGATCGACCCAAGTATCTATTTTTGAGAGTTGAGGTACTCACTTAAATGTTGCAACTAACGTACCTATCTGTCACTACCCCTGAAAGTGCAGGGTAAATATCTGTAATTTACCCCAAAAAAATCTTAAATCTAATCCATTATTTCCTTCTTCCTCTCCGGCCTCTGGCCTTTGGGATGTGGGAATAGGACTGTCCAGTGACACAAACAGAGAAGCCATGAGAGCTCTTATTCTCTTCCCGTCTTCTCCCTTCACTCCAAAACTCCCCACCATCACTTCTTCCCTCACTCCCCAACCCTCAAAGCCATCCTCCCTCACCTTTCCATCCATCAGCGCGAAGGCGAAGCCACCGTCTCCTTTGAGAAGAGAAAGAAACGACTTTAGGGTTAGAGCTGACGAGGGAGACGACGGCGGAGGCCCCGACGACTACGACATGGAGGAAGAAGAGGTGGAGGAGGTGGACAACAAGAAGGACTACGACGTCGAGTACGACCGCCTCGGTGCGCCCGGCTCGGCCGCCGGCGGCGATGACATTGAGATGGTTCAGAGCAAGAGCTTTGTGTCGACGCAAGGGTGGGACTCAGAGATGGTGGTGGATTACAGGATTAATGAGGAGGAGTTTCATAAGATCAGTTTGCTTGACTGTGACTTTTTCATTAGGAAGCCACCTGATCCTGATAACGATGTTTATGATTTCAGAGAGGTTGGATGAATTTTTAGTTCTTCGGAATTTCTAGTAAGAAGAGAACATTTGATCATTTCCTTGAAATTGGTAATGATTTGAGGTTTTTCTGTTGTTGCTGTAGATGTATGTTACTCCTCCAGACACTGATGTTTATTCTATTCCTAAGGTTCTAGCGCCGATGCCTCAGAAGGTATGGATATAAGAGATGTAATTAGCCTGCTTTTCGTTTATGAACCTGCCCAATGCTAATGATTCATATGGCAAAGGTCTTGATCCTGGCTTTGTTTTATTTTTTCTTATAGTACATTCGATGTTCAATGAGTGATTATGGATGTTACAATGTTACGGAGCCTCCAATTGATGCACCTCGAGATCCACTGTACAAAACGGAAAGGGAAGTTCTGAAGGTATGGCGATTCACCACGTCATTGTTTCACAATCTTCACCATGCCAATTTTTCTGTTGCTTCTTTTTGCTGTAAATGCTCTTATGGTGTTTGCTACTAGAATAGTATCTCTAGCTAAACCATTAGCCTGTTTTGGGATGAGAAAGAATGAGATGTTTGATGAAAGCAAACTCCTGAAGAAAAACGTAAGCAGCAATGTAACACCTAGAAGCCTGATTAGGCAGCAAACATGCAATGGGATTGGACAAGGAAAAACCTAAATTCTAATTTAATCCCTAATTTTACATACCACCAACACAAGCAAATATGTAACTTGAAAATAACAATGTTCTTTACTAAATAATAATGAGTATCATATGAAAACATGGTCAATTATCATATCCAAAAGACAATAGCATTTTAAATCTACTAATAGCAGTGTTTCAAACACAACATTACAATATAATAACTACTTAATGGAGTTATCACATGTCAAAAAATATTAGCAACTAATGAACATGATTTTTACTAAGAAACTGTGAGCGAGAGAGAGGGAGGGAGGAATTGCAGAAAATGGGAAGGTAAAATATGAAGAGGCACTCTTGTATCCTTATTTTTTTTTCTTTCTTTCTCCTCAAAACCCTTGGATCTATTGTGTTTCAACAGTAAAACATCAACAAAAAATGTAGCTACCTGGGATCTTGGGAGGGGGTAGACTGCCTAGGCAGGTACCTTTTGTCCTGGATGGGCACCTAGTATATCTCATGGGGTTCAATAGGGGTGCAACTTGAGTTTGGACCAACCTAAACGTAGCCCAACCCAACCTGGGAAACAGGGTTGGGTTGATTTATATTGGGTTATGGTTAGTGCTACAAAATGCCAACCATATGATGTTGGGCTGGGTTAAGGTTGATGCATTGGACATTCCAACCTAAGTATGTTTCTGTGAGAGGACAAAGAGAGAGGATGATGCTGAGTGGTAGTTAATTCTAAATATTTCTATAATATGATGCGTTCATATTATCATATGTAAAATGTGTGCCTGTATAAATATGGTAGTATGTATTTATGCATATATTTATAAATTTGGTAGGTCAGATCCTAATCCGAACTCAACCTGGCCAACCTGATATCATGATTGGTTGGGTTAGAGTTGAGAACCTTGGATTGAAGAACAGGTTGGGATAAAGTTATCAGTTGAGGTTTTGACACAATAGATTGATTGAGTTGCACCCCCAGGGTTCACTGTTCAGGCTAGTTGCCCCTGATGGGTGACGTGCTACATACATGATGCCTGAGCAACACCTTGTGACATTGACAATTATGATACTGAACTAGTAATATTTGCTACATTTGCCCTCTGTAGTACAAATCCCAAATGGAACTTGATAACTTTTAGTCCTATAAGGAGAGCCAAGCCTTCAGATTTATTAGAATTACCCTCTCCTAACAGTTTGCCGAGGGAAAAAAAAAACATATCTCTGCTCATGACCTATCTTGGAAAATGACCTTGAACTGTGAAGTTCTTACACATTAATTGAGCAGTGATGAACATCCATTGATGTTAAGCTTGATCAATTATTGGCAACAGGGAGTAGCTATACTTGAAAGTATTGAGTTATTATTATGACTCATCTTTTTGGTCCTTTCAAGCTAAAACCTTGTTAATGACCATCATTTTTGTTTTAATTTTTTGGGATTGGAATCAGATTGAAATCCTGTTTGAATTCTCAGAAATTGTCTTGAGTTGATATCGTTTTTCCCCATTCTGATTTTAGTTTGAACATTTTGACTTGCATTATTTACACATTTTTCTTTGGCAAGTGATTTGACAAATTTTTTTGAAGCAAACTAATGTATGTATCAACTGGATATTCCTTAGTCTTTTTTTAGTTGTCTTTGCAAGTTGGTCCGAGAAAATTATGCAATCTCTCATTCTACAATTTTTGTATCTTTGTGCCTGTAACTGGAAGTGAATAAATGTGAACTCTTTAATGTTGCACTTTAAAAATGCTCCTTTAGTTTTATCTTCCTAAAGAATTATTACAATTCTGTAAAATGCCTCTCATATTGTGAGAATTGCAGTGTGTTAAACTAGGAGAAAGTGATCTGTACATTTCTTATTATCACTTGCCACCATGAGATTTTTGTTATTGTTTTCTGATACAGGTTTTCTTGACAAAGCATTATAGAAACAGGAGGTCAGGTGACCCAGAATTTGTACTAGATTTTGAAGAGATTTATGTCATTGATTCAAAAACAAAGTCAATCACTAGAGCAAAAGTTTTGGTGAGATGCTTTTCTTTTGTTATTATATTCCTATATCTGAACTGCATGGGGTATTCTTTTTCACTGCACATGAAACAATTCGCCTTTAGGTTCTAAACCCTTTTGCAATCCATGAATAATAGTAATGATTTCTCACAGTTCTGTAATCCAACAATAGGTTCTACCCAACAGCAACAATATTTTTGGTAATTGTAATGAACACTTTGTTTCCCAATTTATTGTTCCCCATGCTCCTAAATGGTTGAAGAATCAAAACCTTTTTAACTCACCAAAATTGACTATTCTTATTTGTCGGTTTGTTTGGATGGTTAATGTATAGATGGACCCATTTTCTCATGCTGGTTGGAAAATCTCAGCCAAATTATGGCGATCTTTGTGAGATACTAAAGGGAAAGAATGGGGGAACTTTGCTTGATGTAAATGATGGTTCATGTGAATTGGTACATCTAGCAGTTTCATGATTTCCATATCCTAGGGTCTAGATAAAGTCATTGTGATTTCAAATGAAACATTGCCATTTTATATTTCTTCACACTTGCAAATTTGAATGGATCAATTAATAACAGATAGTTCCTTGTATCCTTGTTCTAATTATTGATTTGCTCTCTGGAGGATAGCTGACTGCTTTTTAACAGGTTACTATTCCAGGAGGACCTAATAGGGACAGAAAGAGTGACATGCTAATAGTTCGTGATAATGGGAATTCCTTCAAAATAATTCATATGGTGAATATCTAAATCTGTCAACTTCCATCCATTATTTCTGAAAATTTATTTACTTTGCATTGGATGATGTTCTGGACAATTGCTTTACTCCAGAGTCAAAGAGACGAACCCACAACTGTCATAGAGAGAGAAGAATGGATCAAAACAAGGCAAGATATGGAGAGACACCTCAGGAAACTACGAGACTTCAGTATTTCAAACTGGTTCTAATTGAATGGCACGGGATTCAGAGATTGGGAAGATGTGCAACTAATTTTAGACAATTCTATCCTGAAGAGATGAAGATACTTAATGCTGTTCACATTTGCTATATTTGCACATATGATCCAATTCCAACGTTTAGAATTGATGCTATCAAATATGTGCAATGTGCTGGGGATTGGGGACCCAATGCACATGTTTCTGTGACTGCCTCTCACCAGCTTCTATTCCAACAAGTTTGCAGAATCTACTCCATTCAATTACTTGACCTTGCCGTGGTAACTCAAAAGCTGTTTAGGGAGAAGAGTTTGTCCACGGTTTTGAATCTTGATTCTATTACCATCATTGATGTTTTGTACATGTAGGTTGTTTGAGTAAGTATATTTTGTATCACTTGCCTTATTTCCCTGTTAGTGAGCAAGAAGCAAGAGCTGTTGCGGTTAGCACTGGGCACTGTCAGATATCCTAATTGAATGAGTAATCAATTAGAACTATAAACAGCGTCTCCCAGCCGGTTAGTTTTCATCCCTGTTATTGTTGTTGGAAGGAATTGGATATTTTGTTGCTAATCTCCGTACCACCAATCATTTGCTCATAGAGGGTGTGAAGTTTGCATCCAGACATGTTTTTATTCTTGGAATTTTGAATTGTGACGGAAATAATTGGACAAGCTAAGAAAGATAAACAGTCAATGGTTATCTGTAGACCTGAGTCAATTGGGTTGGGTGGGGTTGGGTCAAGATACTTTGGGTTGATCTCGGGATGGCTTGTCAAGTGCTAGACCCTAGCCCTAAATGCTCGGGTTAGGGCCCATGGGTCAATTTGGGTCATCCCAAAAAATAATTGAAATTTAAAAAATAAAGAAAAACTACATGAAAAATGCCAAAGTTAAAAAAATTAACCTTAAAATTCTAAATATAAAATAAAATATTTGAACATTTGACAATTTAAAGAGTAAACAATAAAGAGTAAAGAGTAAATAGAAAAAAATTAAAGAGCGGAAACTTTTAACAATGCATAAATAGTCTCAATTAGACTTGACAATCGAGTCAGTGGGTTGACCCATGTTCCAACCCAACCCAGTTTTTTCCGGGTTGGGTCATTCTTACATTCAGGTAGCTAAATATTAGACCCTAATCCTGTTTTTTCGGGTTGGGTTGGGTCAACTTTTTTCTAGGTCTAATTATCTGTTCCTTTGGAAGTGGTCAAAACTTTTGACCTGTCAATTGAAATCATAGGTGTTATTTATCAAAATTCCCTTGTAAGTCATAAACGTGGTAGTCAATTTATTTATCAAAATTCATCCCTTAAAGGTATCACTTTCCAGAAATTATAATTGTGGCACTTAAATTCTGCAGTTAATATCCTACTATGATTACTATAGTATGATCAAGTCGATTTCTTTCAAGGGTCATTGACTCATGATGCGGGTTATTTGGCTGGACGTTATGACACTGGTAAGTCCAAACCTTGGAAGAATTATAGTGAAACGGATAATTCCCTACCATGCCATGCCATGTATTGATATCACAAAAAATGGATACCAATACTCTAAACCTTGTTCAAGTCCAAAAAGTATATTATTATATTATATTAAAAGTATGAATGATGTAAAAAAAATCTTTTTGACTAAAATACCCCTATCCTAAAATTTGGTCGCTATCTAATTTTAAGGGCATTTGAATTACTACTTTTTCACCTCATCAAATTCCCTCTCGTTGAATTTTATGTTTAATTTACTAACTCCCATACTCGTTAAATCCTATATTTAAGGTATTTTTTCTCACCAATAAATTCTATTAACTAGATATAAATTCAATACTTTTAACAATATCCATATTTTTTTTAAATTGATTCAGGAATATAACTATTCTTCCATGATAGAACAACAGGTTCGGAAACACATGCATGGGACATGCAAGACTCTAGATCTCATAGACTCTACTTATGATAACTCTCGATCATAACCTACTCTATCCTATCAAAGATAATACTGTAATCTAAATCTAACTGAATTAGTGTTTGTGTTAAACTCTAACTAGTGTTCCCTATCTTTGATAGAAGTTTGTTGTAAATCTAACTCTCTTACTATAAATATATACTAGTCTCGATCATGAAGCACCATCCGAAGACTACTTTCTTTATTAGAAGTTTATCTATCTTGTCTATTTTCATTATTATTATTTGTTCTAGTGTTTCATCTTGGTATCAAAGCCATGTTGACTGAAACTGGAGCTCATGATAGCATCCCGACTTCCTCCAACAATGCTCAGCAATCTGTTCCTTCAACCGGAACAAGTTCACTCCCTTCAATCCAGAATGTGACTCACTATCTACCTATCAAACTAGGCAATGATAATTACTTGTTCTGGCATGCTCAATTTTTACATGTTCTTTGGCACCATCATTTGATGGACTTCGTTGAAGGAAAGAAACTGGCGCCGGAAGAGATACTAGATCAACTAGTACTAGAAAAGTTGCCAACCCAGAATTTGAGAAATGGATGGACCTAGACCAACTTGTACTGAGTTGGTTGATCTCTCTTACAGAAGGAGTAATGGCTCAAGTTGTGGGCCTATCGACAACAGTGGAAGTCTGGACAACTCTTGCTCTGAGTTATTCTACCCACTCTCATTCCAGAATTTTGTAGTTGAGATGCTAACTACAAAGTCTCAAGAAGGGGTCTCTCTCTATATCAGCCTATATTCAGCGCACAAAGTCCATTGACAACAGCTTATCCACTGCCTTTGAACTAGTTCTTAAGTTAGAATTGGTGCTCTATATACTTGCTGGCCTTAGAAGTGAATATGAGTCCATAGTAACCACTCTTACCAACCAGCTTGATGCAACTGATCTCAGACTTTTAGATATCATGGGTGCTCTTCTCAACCATGAAAGCTGGTTAGAGGAATAGACGCACCTCTCAGATCCTCACAACGCCAATCTTGTTGGGGTTGGTTCGAAAAACAAAGGTAACACTTCTCAACAACAAAAGTCTCCACAACAGTTTTCTCCAACAGAAATTATGCATGGAACCAACCTTATAGGTTTCCCAGACCCTTGATATTTATATGAGCCAGGTTTCCTCTATATAGTTTTGAGGGGTAAGGCCTCACGTCCCCCCTCCAAGGTTTTTTTGCATATGAATAAATTTGTGGTGGCCACCCCTCAACCAAGAGAAAATTTTGGGGCTAAAAAAAAATCCAGTTCTCTCTAGCATTCAATAATAACAATAGAGGCCGAGGCCGAGGATGTGGTTATCCTTAATACAATCATCAACAATATTTTCAGCAAAATATGTTTCCTAATCTGCAACAGCAATTTAATGGTGGATGTGATTTGTCAAATTTGCAATAAAATAGTGCTCTTCAATGTCGAGTTGTCGACAAGCATGGTATGCTTTTGGCTTCCAAAACAACATCACCTATAATGAATTGTTTGCATTCCATGAAGGAGTTAGCACCCCTCAATTCATGAATCCTCATAATTGCAATACGTTTGACCTCACCTGGTATCCAGACTCAGGGGCAACACATCACATGACTCCATATTTGGAAAACATCTAGAATCACACTGAATATATGGGATCTGACCAGGTGAAGGTTGGAAATGGCCAAAGTTTGCGCATACATCATGCTAGTTCATCTTCTATGTTATTTAATCAGCATGCCTTTACTTTGAATGATATATGTGATGTTCCCTCTATCTGCAAGAACTTATTATCAATCACTCGATTCAAAGGGATAATGACTTGTTTTTCAAATTCCATCGTGATTGTTGCTTTGTGAAGGATTATTCGTGGAGAATTCTACTACAAGGGGTTAGTAGAGATGGCTTGTATAGCTTCTCGTCATTAGTTACAATTTCTCAGGCACCAAAAGCTCTTGTTGGAGAACAAACTTCTATTCATGGTTGGCATTTGTGTTTTGGTTATGCAACACTACATATTGTACGAAAAGTTATTTCAAATGATGGTCTTCCTTTTGATTGTTTTAGGTCAAGTTAATCAATTTATGAATCATGTCAAATGGGTAAGAGTTGTATGTTGTCTTTACAGTCTTCTAGCTCTTAGTCTACATGTCCATTAGATTTAATTTTCTCTGGTGTATGGAGCCCGGCTCCAATTAAGTCGAGCAATGGTTAATTTTCTAGATGATTTTTCAAAATGTTCTTGGATATATCCTATGGCTTGCAAGTAAGATGTCTTCGATATATTTCTGAAATTTAAACTACATGTTGAAGTCATCTTTGATACTAAAATCTGATCCTTCCAATCTGATTGGGGAGGAGAGTATCAAAATTTGTCTCGATATCTGGATACACAAGGCATCTCTCATCAATAGGCTTGTCCACACACTCATGAGAAGAATGGGTCCGTTGAACGCAAGCGTTGACATGTTATTGAATTAATGTTATCTCTACTGGCCRCCTCTAAACTCTCCTTTTTCCTTCTAGGCTGAAGAAGCTAAGACCGCTATATACTTGATCAATTGGTTGCCTACAACCTCTTTGAATGGTATGACTCCTTATGAAAAATTGTTTCACAAAGCTCCAGATTATTCCATGCTCCATTGTTTTGGTTGTGCTTGTTACCCTCTATTGTGATCATACAATAAAAATAAATTCATGTTTCGATCTCTTCGATGTCTATTTATTGGACATAGTAGTTCTCACAAAGGGTACAAGTGTCTCCATGTTCCTATAGGCCGTACCTTTGTTGCTTGCCATGTCGTTTTTTATGAAACATTTTTCCTAGGATTTTCAGAAACCCCTTCCATAAACACTTCCTCTCCTTCAACTAGGGTGTATATCTCTACACCAATGCCATGTCGACATGAATCTCCTCCTACTAATCCATCAGGCTCGACTTCTAGTTCGGTTCCTTCATCTCCGATGCCTTCCATACAAATTCAATCATCACCTACATTCAGCTCCTCCACTGTCGAGTCTGCAGCTCTCTCCTCTGAATGACCAGTTAGATACTGGAGTATCCAAGAGATTCTTGATCACACTGCACCAATACCTCCACCCACCCATTCTCACTCTATGTGCACCAGATCAATGGATGACACTCTTCCTCATTCTCACACTGCCACAAGGTATTTGATCCCATCATCTCTCATGTATCTTCTTTCCCGTGAGGAAAGGGAGCCACATTCATTCTCTTAGGCAACCAAATCTTCCTATTGGCATGCCACAATGTTAAAGGAATATAAGGCATTAATTGATAATGGCACATGGGAGTTGGTACCGTACAACCCCACTATGAATATTGTTGGAACAAAATGGATCCATAAGATAAAGAAGAAATCAAATGGTTCTCTTGACTGTTACAAAGCTCAGCCGGTTGCCCAAGGTTTTCATTAGGTTCCCGGACTTGATTTTCTTTTTGTTGATACTTTTAGTCAGTAGTGAAACTGATCACCGTTTGTATAGTTCTTGCCCTCACAGTGTCCAACTCTTGGCCAATACATCAGCTCACATTAACAATGCCTTTCTTCATGGGGTTCTTGTCGAAAATATTTATGTTTATCAACCCAAGGGTTTTACAGATCCAGACCATCCTACCCATGTCTACAAGCTTCAAAAAACTCTTTATGGATGAAAATAGGCACCACAGGCGTGGTATTCTCGTCTAAGTGCTGCTCTTCTTCACATGGATTTCCACAACTCCACTATTGAGCCATCATTGTTTATCTTCGATCACGAGGTACGGTTACGTTCATGCTTATATACGTTGATGATATTATCTTAACTAGGAATTCCTCATCCACCATTGATAAATTTCTCCAATCATTATCTACTATCTTTCCTCTCAAGATTTGGGACCATTACATTATTTTCTAGGAATTGAAGTATGTTCCTCCCCTAGTGGGATGTTTCTCTCTCAACAAAGGCACATCCTAAATCTTTTACATCGTACCAATCTAGGAGGAGCCAAGCCTGTCTCCTCACCCATAGCCGCCTCCTACCGGCTATCTTGTGACTCTAGCACTCCGTTACCTTACCCAACTGAGTACCGCAGCACCATGGGAGCTCTCCAATATGTTACTATCACTCGCTCGGACATTTCTTTTGTTAACAAAATTTGTCAGTTCTTACACTCCCCCACTAATGAACATTAGGTCATCATTAAGAGAATTTTTAGATATCTCAAAGCCACCATATCTCATGGTCTTTAGTTCAATTCTTCTCCCTCGCTTTAGCTCACTACCTATACTGATGTAGATTGGGCAAACTGTCCAAATGACCAACAATCAACTGCAGGATATGCTATTTTTTTGGGTTTGAATCTCATCGCCTAGAGTTCAAAGAAACAACCAACTATAGCTCAGTCCAACACGGAATCAGAGTTTCATGCCCTTGCCAATGTTGTAGCTGAACTTCTGTGGATCCAATCCCTTCTCAAAGATCTTGGTTACATTTCACCACCTGTTATTTTGTATGACAATATGGGTGTGACACATCTAGCCGCCAATCCTGTTTTTCATGCTTGCACCAAACATGTTGAATTTGATTTCCATTTTCTATAGGATGTCACCATCAACAAGAAACTCTAGATTCAGTACATACCGAAAGGTGATCAGGTTGTGGATGTCCTCACCAAACCCCTTTCCCCCTCTCAGTTAGAGATCCTTAGATCCAAGTTTCACGTCGCCCCATTCAGCTTGTAGGGGCTGATAGAACAACAGTTTGAAGACACGTGCACGGGACATGCAAGACTCCAAATCTCGTGGACTCTATCGATGATAACTCTCGATCGTAACCTACTCTATCATATCAAAAGATAATACTATAATCAATCTAACTGAACTAGTATTTGTGTTGAATTCTAACTATTGTTCCCTATCTTTGATAGAAGTTTGTTGTAAATCTAACTATCTTACTATAAATATATACCAGTCTGCTTTCTTTATCAGAAGCTTTTATCTTGTCTATTATCACTATTATTATTTGTTAATGTTTCATCTTTCTACCTAGGTGGTCCATAAGAAATTCAAACACTAGGTCAAATGGATCATCCCATTATGTTATAGTTAAACAACATAAAATTTTAAATAAAATAAATATAAACGTTACAAAAAGCAAAAAAATCTGCAGAATGATTTGTCTGCATCTCTAATGTATTCTATTAATTGTATTAAAGAAAAGTAATTGTGATGAACAAGATTTGTTTTATTAACAAGAAATGAAGTACAAAATATAAAATCAACCTAAAATGAAATTGTTTTCTTGTTTGGTAGCAAGTCAACAATTTAATCTTTTGATTCAAATGTGTTAACAATTGATGCCATAATTAAAAAATAAAAATACAAATCCAATATAGATATGATGGATACAATTTGATTTAAATTTGACAATTAATGAATCAAATTTGGATCTAGGTATATGATATATCTAATTCAATTCAATCCATTTACAACCCTATGTTCATTTCTACCTAAGAAAAGGGAAATTATCACCTTGTACAAATTAAACTGAGTTACCGTTCTGTGAGGAGGAAATCCGGATTCCTGTGCATGTGTTTCACACTATTCTTCAAATTAAATGATTTTGTTGTCAATCTTTTGAAGTTACTATCAGTTAAATAATTAGAACATGTTTTTGAACTGTATTTCTTCTTTGAGAAGCAAAAATAAGTTGGTAAAATCTCCAACTGATTGTAGTGGAGACTGCAAGCGAGTCCCACCTTCACCAATGTTGGAGTCTTGGAGAGGGGTGCCCCTGTTGTGTAGCCCATTTTCATTTTCCTTTTAAAAATGACTATTTTTTCTTTGAGAAGCAAAAATAACTGCTTCAGTTTTTTTTTTTTTTAACAAGAGAGAAATGATTCATGTTTTTAAACCATTAAAATAGTGGGTTCTTATCAATTTTAGGGGATACAGACATGGTTCAAAGTATTGACAAATTGTTTATTATACGATTCAAAGGGCCAATACAATTAATCAGTTTTAGTAAATTAATTCTACAAGCAAAAACAATTAATTACAAGGATGAAGGATCTTCGATGTAGATTTTTTTTATGGAAAAAAGGGTCCTTACTTGGCTCACCAGTCACTTGGGCTTCTTCTCTACTTGGCAATTGGCATACGTGATAGCACCACATCTGCCATGCCACATGGAAAAATGATGTGGCAAATCCATGCAACCAACGAGATAGGAGACCCCTTGGATTGGCCGTGTATTCTTTTTCCTGGTTAGCATCACGACTCTCAACTCTCAACCATGTATACAAGCTGACGAAAGCTTCAATATTTAAATTCATAAAGTCCTTAAAAAAAGTTTAGTTTCGACTTGTAGCGAAGGGAAAGCATTAGAGCTGGGTACTAGAAAATACATACCCTTTTAGTATATAGCTATATACTGTACAAACAATTTATACACATCAGAGTTGCCTGCTATAAAAGGTAATATACTTGCATAGAACAAGCCAATCTCCCTAATCCAACATTTACCTCCAGTTCATAGATCAAAATGACGAGACATTATCCACCAGAAGCATAACCCTTAAGACTTAAGGGAGTTGGAAGGACCAAGAAGTCTTGAAAGACAAGTTGGGCAATGTTTTCAGCTGCAAGCCTGCAACAGCGCTAATCTCCATTGTACAAGCCGCATTCAAAATGACTGTAGACTCTCTCCATCACAGGCAGAACCCTTACTATTTAAGGGAGTTAATCTTGACAAGACAAGTCGGGCAATGTTTTCAGCTGCAACAGTGCTAGTCTCCATGGTACTAGCTGCATTCTCAAAGGCATTAATGTAGTACAAATGAAGGCCATCCAACACAAATGATGCAAACATCTCTGGAGGCGTGTAATGAGGATATGCGCCCCAATCCATGCGCAGAGTTTCCTTCCTTACACTGCCAATGAGATCATAAACAAGAGTCAGCGTCAAATAATCCGGGAGTTATTTGTTTGATTTTTTTTTTTTTTTGGGTAGAAATAGGAGGAGCTACACAAGATGAGGGGTAGCTCGGCCCCAAGCATCACGAAAACAAATAAAACTTCTCTAGGGATAGAGGGAGGGCAAAAACTGAGAGTGCTGAGAGGAAAAGAAAGAGCTTGGTTTGCCATCTAGTCCGCAGCTTGATTGGCCTCTCTATAGACATGGTTGTAGGTGACACCACATTCCAAATCTCCAGCCAGCTTCAAACACTCCTCGATGATGGTCTTCAATCTCCACGGGCAGTCCAGTTTGTTCTTTAAACACGAAATCACAAGAAGAGAGTCTCCCTCAATGAAGATGGGGAGACCCCTATAGTTGAAAGCAATATTGTGGGATTCCCATGCAGCCCAAGCCTCCGCTACATTAATTGAGGAATTCCCGATAAAATAAGCTTTGGTCTCAAGAACAATCCCCCAATGATTTCTTGCAATGCAACCAATTGTGCAATCACCTTTATCATTTCTGGACGTGTCAAAATTAATTTTGATAGAAGTCCCTTTTGGATCTTTCCATTTGATTGGCTTCCAATCTTTATTCTGTATAGTACTGGATTTAAAACAATTTTTAACATTGTGATTAAAATATAGAGACAAAGCTCTATCAATGATGACCGAAGGGTGGCTACAATGGTTTTAGAAGGTATTTTCGTTTCTATTCTTCCAAATCTACCACAAGATAAAGCAGGATTTCACAAGGATCAAAGAATCATTCTGATTGGAAAATAAGCCATCCCACCACTCCCGAAGTGAGGAGTCGTTTTTACTAGGCCCCTTAATATTTGGGTTTAAGATATTCCAGATTTGTTTAGCAATAGTACAATTTTTAAAAATATGATCGGTGTCTTCAATTCTATCGCAGAAGCTGAAACCAACATCAATGGAGAGACCTAAAGACCTTAAAAGGGTTTTAGAAGGCAGCCTAGAATTAAGCAGCAGGTATAAAAAGGTTTTGATTTCTGAGGATTATATTATGTATACTGGAGATAACACTCACAATGCATGTATCATATGATTAATCCAACATCGAATTTTTTTCTAGATTAACAAGAAGAATATATCAGATATAAACGATCTAAGCCTTGTCCAAACTAAATGGGGTATAGCCTGTTTTGAAATTCCATTTCTAATGCTCTAATTGTTTAAAATAAAAGTTAGTAGCTACAGGTCACTTAACTATGTTAATCTATGATTTAGATAACCTCATAATCCTGTCATAGAACTATGGACCAGTAGCCCCTTTACTGCTCAAGGATTAGAGGTTATGCAATGAAGGAGCCAAATAATTTTCTTTTTTCATCAGAAAAAGGTAGAATTTATTTATTATAAATCAAGACTGAATGCAGGAGCCAAATAATTAAAACTGGAATTTTCATTTTTTTATGTACTTGTATCAAAATAGAAGCATTTTGATAATTTTACATGATGACCATGGGGTCTAGCCTAGTCGTTTTCCTTTTCAAGCCATAGTTTAATTGTGTAGAGTTTTCATATCCATTAGTTAAGTAGCTTAGGAGATAACGAATTTCCTTCTGATAGTGCTACTCTGTAAGTTCTGTTTTCCTTAGTAGGATTCGCCACCCATATAGTGTGTATATTTTTGCATGGTGAATGAATGAATTGGTTTAATTTGAGTTCATATAGCTTATGCTAAAAACAGGAAGTGGGTTCCAATATCCAACAGTGATTCTAGCCCACCACCCCCGAGTTGAGTGAGTCTAGGTTTTCCCTCTCTTCTCTCTAATTTTGCAAGCAGCAATTATGACCATCAACAGCCAATGTATTCTTCATCAAAGGAATTCATCAGCATCTTTAAAAGACTAGAATTGATTCATTTATATTTTTTCAAACTCAAAGTTTTCTCATTTCAATCATTTTCATCCTCTGTATGAAAAATTTATGATTTCTATCGTTTTTGAACTTCCCCTTAGATCTTCTTCACCTTTCATTGTATCAAATATCATCCTAAAATTCTATATAAAATAAAAAAACCTAGTTTCTAGAATTTGTGCAGTTTCTCTTACAAAGGGAATTTCTCATTCTTTTATGAAAAACTACTTAGAATGCTTTCACGTTAAATTGCCTGATATAATCCACCATCCTAAACATTTCTATGAAGTTTTATTGAAAAGTTCCATTTTCACTTAGGTGGCGTTCGGTAAATCTGAAGTCTAAAGTTTGAAGTCTGAAAAGCAAAAACACCTCCGAAAAATCTTTGAAAGCATTCAATGAAAATTTTGCTTTTTCACTTTTGCAAACATCTGAATATAGTGGAATTATTATGATTCATCAAAAAAATATATATATAGTGGAATTATTCGGTAATCAAAATGTTGTAATGTCTGAAAACTGTGTATTTTACAAATTTACCCCTCAAAAGTTGTTATTTAAATAAAAAATAAACGAAAATGATTCAAATACACATTAAAGAGTAAAAAAAATATTAATATTATAAAAATAATATGAAACAAGTATAAAATATAATAATATTAATAATACTTGATGTGGCTCAATCTGCACCTGTCCCTGCTGGAGTGGTGAGTTGGACGAGGAGTAGGTCAGATCTGCAAAGAAGGTAAACGTCAATGAGCCCAAGTCGTGGACCCTGGCAAGGGAGTTCTAACGGTCAAGTTAGTACCAAGTTGAGAGAGCTGAGAGCAAAGAGGAGCAGTATGAGATAGAGAGCTTATTAGAGTGTACCGTTAGAGGGCAAGAGGCTGCCCTTATATAGGACTTTGGGATCGGCCAGAACGTTTCCGACATACTCAGCAGTAATGGGCCTCAACCAATGGAATCTAGGGAACACTCAGGAATAGTCACTAAGTCGACCACTCGTTGTTTCCCCAAGAAACGGGGGAGACACGTAATCGTCGCTACGTGGACAATGTGCCCTCCAAATACTCCGGGATCATTAAATGGCTCGAATGGATCAAGGCAGATAGATCACATAGGTCGGCCACGAGGCCAGGTAACTCGCCAAATGTCTAGGTTGCATAAACATTTCGAGGTGATGACCAACGTCCTAGGCTGGTCTTGCCAAGCTATCTTCAACTGAGCTCGAGTGCATCTGGCCGGCATGAACCGCATTGCTAACAAACACTTTTCCAAGGTCTTGCCACGTTAGGTACCGAGGTGATCCAAGGCGGCTTTGGATGTCCATGTGGCAGCAAGTGAATGTTGTGTCACTTTTACCCATCACCAATACTAATAAAAAATAATGTAAGATATAAAATTTGCCTTTATTATTTAAAAAGCATAAAATATCAAAAATTCCTTAACCAATAAATAAAAAATATTAAATATACTATTAAGGATAATTAAAATATTGCAACTATTTTACTTATTTTAATAAAATAAATACAAAACATTATTAAATGGTAAACCAATAAATGAAATGATAAAAAAATTAAAAAATAGTAAGTTAAATTAATAAAAAGATCACCTTAATTTCTTTATAGAAAATATTAGAATTATAAAGAAAGAGAAAAAGAGAAAAAACATAAATAAAAAGATTAAAATGGAGTTTAACAGCATGAAGAAGGAAAACAGGTTGGGGAATCAATCATTTTTTATTAATTTTTGATAGGGGCACACATAAGTTAAGATAACTATTGCTTTCATTTTCAAAGTGGGCACATCTACCCCTTTCCATCTCTCTATTTGTTTTACCTTTGTTTTATCTCATTTTCCCTCTTGCTTTTTATTGGTTTTTTCCTTTCTCCATATCCCTGTTACAGAGATTGGCAATCCTGGTTCACTCCGCTGTTCATCACAGTGAAGAAGAACAGAAATGGGTGAACAGTGAACAGTCATTGCTAGGCTTACAAAGGACAATGGCTGATCCTGGTTCGTCGCTCCTCTGTTCATTGGAATCAGTGCAGTGAAGAGATGGGCAAACAGTGAATGGCCATTGTTAGGCTGTTACAGAGGACAATGGTCGGTCCTGGTTTGTCGCTCCTCTATTCATTGGAATCAGCACAGTGAAGAAGAAAAGAAAGAAAAGATGGATGGGTATTTTGGGAAACAAAATATCATCTGCTACCTCAGAGTGCATTCGGAGGTAACAGACTTGCTGAATGATTTGGAGGAATTTTCAGATTTCAGATAATGAATTCGGAGGTGCTGCCAAACAACCCCGAAGCACCAAAAAGTAAAAATTTCTGTGTTCGGAGGTCGATTCAGCACTACCGAACACCACCTTAGTTTTAAAATTTATTCAGTTGAATGGAAAATCTAGAGTTCTTAGCAATTTGACCTAACCCTTTCTAACACCTGTTAGTTCTTTTCTTAGTTCTGAAATCAGCCCTAAACACTTCCTAGCTCATTGTTACTCTCCTAGATTCATCTTCAGCTCATTCCAATTCTACATCAATTGGTAACAACTAACAAGAAACTAGCCCCTGCATCAGTGGGTATTATTAGTCCAATACTGTGGAAGAAAACAGATGGCAAGTAACAGAGGCAATACTAACAAGAATGTTAGAAGGGAAAGGGAAATAATATTCAGAAAGATGATGATCTGCAAGTATTTATTGATTGGTTAAACTAGAGGATTTTTATTTGCATGATATATATAATAAACAGAGGTGTAATTTTCTCCCTTTATTTTTTATATCCCGTCGCCCTAGTATATATACCAAAAGCTGGCGCCACCAGCAGGACTTTTGGCTCTCAGATCTATTCTCTCTCTCTTCTCCCTTCCTCTCTTCTCTCCTGCATAACATGGTATCAGAGTGGGACTATCAGATATGGAGAGGTCGAGTGAACAGTTTGCTTCGCACCAGATTTCCAGATTTGCCGCCCACATCTACTGTTCAGCCGATTGAAGATCAAGGTTTTCTCACGCACTGAAGTAACTTCTCTCCTCTTTTTTTTTTTTTCTGGTCGTGTGCCAGGGCAGAACCTATACAAGGTCTGC